TCCAAAAAAAAAAAAAAAAAAGAAGGAAAAAAAAACTACATTAACAGGAGCTGACAGAACTGGCCCTCTCTCAGTAGACAAGGATTGCTAACGATGGAGAGGTTTGTAGTCACAGAGAGACAGAGACAGCCTGAAGGTAGATCCCAAAGATTCTGAGCTTCTACTGAGCATCGTACTTGTTAGATAGGAAAGCATTTTCTATTCATTAGTCTCCAACATTTAGAAAGTAGAAGACTCTCAGAAGAGTTGAGATGTATGATTTCTTATGAAAAATCAGAAGATCTGTCAGCACAGGATCCCCATTCCCTGTAGCCCCAACAGGGACTGATAGGAGCCGAAGAGTGCCTGCCCTTGCAGGACACGATCCGAATTTGACCTGTCTCCCCAGCCATGTCTCCCGTCCCCCATGTGCCTAACTGGTCTCTGATATTGGTGAAGAGGTGGGGTCAAGGAGGAAGAAGACAGGAAGTGCAGAATATATGTCTTGCATCAAGATGTCAAGATGTCAAGTACATCATTGGTCAACTTGCTTTACCTCAGCGTCCCAATTTCCTCATGCAGTCAGCCCATCTGACATTGACTGAGGCCTTACTAAGTGCCAGGCACTGTTCCAGGCAAAGAGTCACCCGTCCTCAGTGTACAGTCTAGTCGGGAGAGAGACACAGTAGGAGGATAAATAAGATCAACCAGATAGTGGGATTGAGACTACAGCAGGGGTAATTCACTTTAGTTACATGGCTCTGGAAGGCGCCTTTGAGGAGGTGACATTTGAGTTGAAACATGAGTGATGAAAAGGGGCCAGCTATGTAAAAAATGGGTGGACAGTGTGCCCAGGCTGAAGGAAAAGCAAGTACCTGTAGAGTATCCCTCATTTGAAATTCTTGGGACCAGAGTGTTTTGGATTTTGAATTTTGGGGAGTTTTGGAATGTTTGCATATACCTAATGCAATATCTTGGGAACAGTACCCAAGTCTAAACACAAAATTTATGTAGATTTTCTATTTGGGTTGTCAGAAAAGTCATGACACATTTTTACGTAGAAAACAGAAAAATGCATCATGACTTTTCCGATGACCCAATATATTCCTCATACACATAGTCTGAAAGTAACTTTATATAATTAAAAATATAAACTCTTACTTAAATTCTATTTTTCATGAACTTTTGAAGTCCCAAATGTATTTCAATTCCATTTTTCCATGAACCTTAAGACATTTGTCTGGTTGGGGTCAGCATGTGGTGTGGTGGTTGTGGTGACAGACTCCCACATGGCCAACCACAGTGTGAGTCCCCAACCCAGCAGCTTGAAACTCACTCCAGGTATGTGGGCATGCATGTCCAAAATCCCAAGAGGACAAAGGCATGGCCATCCCCCCTGGGGTGAGGATGATTTCTTACTTTCTCTGTCTCTATATCTTCTCCAGCGAGTGCACACCCACTATAGCAAATTCTCTTAAATTTTTTTTTGGTTTTGTTTATTCACATTAGTGCATGTGTGTGCACATGTGCATAGGTTCACAGGAAAGAGAGAGACAGAGACTGGAGTACCCTCCATGGGGTTGGTGACAGTCCAGTCCCCTTCATCCAGTCTTCCAGGCTGATGGATCTTGGGCACCCAGGCACAAACTTGGCATGTTTCAGGTTGGTTGGGCCAGGGATTTGAACAACTGTCACCATGTAGGACCCAGCTTTTCTTTGAGCAGCGTGTCACCACCGAGTCACAGAGCTAGCCCTATGTACTATTTTTGTATTGCAATGTTTTCATTGAAACTCATTACATGAGATCAGGTGTGGGATTTCCCACTTGGGGTATCATGTCAGCACTTGAAATTTTTGGATTTTGGTGCATTTTAGATTTCGTATTTTTCGATGAAGGATGCTCACCCTGTCCAGAGACCTGAGATGAGAGCAAGCTGAGGTAGTGGAGCACCCAAAGGTTGGCATGGCTGGAAGGTGGAGGGAGCTGAAGCTACAGGGCTATGCAGAGCCTTGGCTCGGGGAAACGGACCAGATTTTATTCTTACAATGAAAACCAAGAGTTAAATACAGGAGAGACAACACAGTTTATGTTTCTTTGGTTTTTGACGGTGCTTATCAACTGCACATTAGAATCACCCGAGGAAGGGACCAGCAGTTAGTATAATGGCTATGTTGCTGGAATCCCACATAGTCGACTGTAGTTCGAGTCCCAGATCCAGTGGCTTAAAACTCACGCCAGGCGCATGTGCGTGTATGCCCAAGATCCCGAGAGGAGAGTGGAGGAGAAGGGATTGTGGCATGGCCATCCCCCCTGGGGGGTGATTTCTCGCTTTCTCTCTCTCTGTCTGTCTCTATCTGGTGAGCGCATGTGTCCTATAGCAAAAAACCTCTCAAAAAAAAAAAAAAAGAATCACCCGAGGAAGTTTTCTTTCTTTTAAATAAAGTGTATTTATTCCATGAGGAAGAGAAACAGAGACAGACATACAGCACCCCCAATAGGATGTTGGTACCACAGCCAACCAACCCCCAGCCTTAGCCAGCCCTCGAAGGTGGGCACCTGGGAGCCTGGCATATTCAGGGACATTTCCAGATGCAAACCTGAAGCCTTGCTGTGTGGCTCAGTCTCACAGAGCATCATGTTTTACAGCTGCACCATCATCTAGCCGTTGCATGAGGACCTTTTCAATAGTTCTCCCACTAGGATCTCACATCGAATCTGTTAGATCAGAAAGGAATGGTAATTGCAGGAACAAAATGCTCGCCAAGATGGGAGGACATGGATTCTGGAGCCCGAGGCCACTTCTCATAAATAGGGATGGCCGCCCTGGTGCAAGGGCGACTACCCTGCTGTGTTTATATGTCCTTGCTTCTGAGCCTTAATGCCATGTGCATGTTTAATGTATTGGACTCTCGGTCGCTCACATTTGAGAAGTCTGCTGCTTGACAAGCTGTTAACATGGGAGGATGAGAAGGTGACGGCAGTGATGAAATATCCTGCCCACCTTCTTCACCCTTAATGCTTCTCCCAAGGC